TCGACGTGGGTGCAACGCGTTCGTGCGTCGACGACGACGCCGTCGCTGCTCCGGGGAGCAGCTGGTACCTGTCTGTAGGCACGACTTGTTGCCGTTGCGTTCCGACGCGAGGGTCGTCCCTCTGTCGTTGCATCGGCTGCTTTGGCAGGCTGTCCTGCAGGCTCCGGTGGGTTTTCCTGGCCACGCTGGACCCGCTTCCGACGGACGAGGAAGAAGACGAGGGTGACAGGAGGTAGCTGCTGGTGATCGTTGCACCAGCTGTGCTGGAAGCGGTAACCGCTGATAGAGCTGCTTCCGGTGCACCGTCAGCCATCGGTGACCCCGCAGCGCTCGATAGGCCGCGTACGTCAGGCTCAGGAACAACGACTGGAGGACGTTGCTGCTCGTTGCTGCCCAGATCGCCAGCGCAGCCGTAATCGTAGCTACAGCATAGCTGCCCGTCCTACGGAGAGGTTCGTTGGACACTGGGTTAGCCAACGCCGGAACCACCGAACCAACCGGCTTTTGTTGTTCGTTCTTTTTTTTTTTGGTTCTTTCGCCTTCTTCCGTATTCGCGGACTCCACCCTCTCGAAGCGAAAAGTCTTGGCGCTGCGATTGCGTGCATCTTTCGGGTGCAAAGTGCGGTTGAGGAAAGTAACTAGGAATTTTGGGACCATTTGTGCTCGGACGGAGCGACTGTGGCAAGTTCTATGAGAGAGATGTTTAAGAGAGGTCCAAGAGGTCTCAGATTTCGTTTTTTTTCAAGATTCCAATGTGGATGTAGCTCATGGAGAACCTTGGAGCTCCTTGGTACCTCTGACGTAGTGTTTCACGCACCTGGTTGAAGCTACATCTTCAAGATTCTTTAAAACGGAAAAAAATATCGGACAAAATGAGATGTCATCGTTCACCAGTTACGTGAAACCTTGCACTTTAGTTTGCGTCCAATCGAAGTCCGAAAGATTTGATGCGCAAGTGAATAGTGTTCCTCGTTGACTTTTGAAAGTGTTGGCAGCTAAACACCATATCTAAACGTGTACGTGTCCGAAACTGGGAGTGCACCTTGCGTGTACCTTCGTGCACAGCGATTCTAGTGTCCGCGAATTTGAAGAGTCACCCTTTAACAGATCACAACGTGACTCCAAGACTTTTCGCGTTCGCGGAAGGGCGGTTTAGGTAATCCTCCACATAATATGTAATTCATTGTTTCGTTGAAACAGCACACGGTGTGTTCCGCTGTGAAGAAGACCCACGTGAATATCCGTCGTTCACCTTTGCTGAAGTCTGGTACGATGCCTTTCGCTCAATGCATTGCTTCACGATCACAATTACAAGAAATCGACTCATGACAATCATGCTCTGACATTCGGGGGACAAAACAATGAATTTCCATAGTATGTATCTGACACCTGAATACAACGTGTCTAGGTTCCACTACGTTCCGTCGCGATTCTGGCAATGTTATGAACTTTTGGTGCATTGGTCAGTTGGGATGCAGATGGCGCTGGACTCATTGGGATTTTTACTATTTAGGATTTTTTACGGTGAGGGTTTAGGACTCACTCGAACTTCTACTCGTGAGGATTCACGTTTTCAAATTCCTACGCGCTGAGATTCCCCACGCGCTGGAATTCCTACGCGCTGGGACTCTCCACGCACTGGAATTCCTACGCGCTGAGACTCCCCACGCACTGGAATTCTTACGCGCTAGGATCCCCACGCGCTGAACTCCCACGCGCTGAGACTCGCCACGCGCCGAGACCCCCACGCGCTGAGACTCCCTACGCGCTGGAATTCCTACGCGCTGAGACCCCCACGCGCTGAAACCCCCACGCGCTGGAATTCCTACGCGCTGAGACTCCCCACGCG